CGGCTGCCAGCGCCAACCAGTTGAGGTGACCCCTCGGCCAATGAGCGCTTGACACGTGTCCCTGCCCGGCATTTATTGCTACTATAAATAGCACCCCATTTCCTCATTTGTAACCACGCTGAAAACGGCATTCATACTGAATACTCTCTCTACTTTTACTTACTTGCTCTGACTTCTCTCTAAGTTATTCCCCGTAATAACCCTTCGGATATATACCCCCGGGTAGACTATCCATCAATGTATGTAATAATGCCAAAATGTAAAACAGTGAAGATAAATTAATGAAATTAATAGTGCCATTAGTGATTGCAGTTCAAATTTTATGATGAATTAAGTAAAATACCAAGATCTGAACATGTTGAAATAGTGTATTGATTAATCTGGTCAAGTATGTGGACATGTGTAATGTTTGAAAGGAATGTCACCATGAATAATTGAAATTGATAATATAGTGCCAAATTTGGACAAATATGTGACATGATATGATATATTTGATAACGTAGTGCCAAAATATGTATTTTTCAAAAACAAATGTGGCAGAATATATAGTTTCTAAAGTTAGTGCCAAACTAGAAGATAAAAATGTAATGTGTGGGAGGATTATTACCATGAATGATTAAATTTTACATGTTACATTGGAATTACTAGTGTAGTGACAATTTTGCACAAATTAAAAGCATGTGTAATGATATGAAATCTTTAGTATCTTAGTGCCAAATATTAAATTGTCAAAAACCAATGTGGTATTATATAAAGTCTTAAAGTCATTGCCAACTAATAGATAACAATATAATGAATTTTAGTTGTGAATTTTACAAAGTAGTGCAACAAGCCGTCAAGCCATCACATCATTCAGTGACCAATGTCAAGATAAAAGTGTCATGTATTTATATTTCTATATTGTTTGTTTTCAAATGCAATATGGATACTTGTATGACATTATTAAGATAAATAATTGTAATTATGCAAACTATTGTTAGAACTTGTGAAGAATGATTGTTGGCAGAGTTACAAGAGAATCTTAGGGTAAATGGATATTGCAATTTGAGTGAGGTGGCAAAGCGCATAAAACGACATTTGAAAGAAGATGAAGTGACAGAGTTTAGAGGCTCTGAATTTGGATGGTTACTTAACATCAATAGCATGCCAAGGTTAAGTGGAGATTTATTAATTTAAATTTGAATGTTTTGTAGATACTCGCATGTATATATGTCAATTTTCTTTGTCTATGAAGAGACCAAATTTTTTATTTGTATCACGGATAAAAATATTGCGCGTGTATACATGGTCTGACGGTAGTATGTACAAGAAGCAAAAATGTGTAAATATTCTCCATTGAAGTTGTACTTTCACATCTTTTATGATTTGACCTATTTGTATGAGATATAAGACCAACTTAGTTCTTTTGCTTTGGTAAAGTTTGATGCTATGCATATCTTATTATTCTTTTAAGTCTGATTTGTTGTTTAAAAAAAGTCTGGTTTGTTGTGATGCTATCTAATTAGGTTCAAGTTTGATAAGGAATTTTTTATTTTCAAAAATTGTGAGCATACCTAAATTAAAAAATATAGCACATAAAAAATTCAAAAATAGAAAATTCATCTTGAACGGGAGTTCAAGCATCATACTCAAATTCGAATCTATAATAATTAATGAGCAAAATTCAATCGAGCACGAGTCGACCCAAAGCCGAATTGAGACAATATAAAGATTTTTTATTTTTCACGACATTTTTTACCTTAAAAATATAAATTTGTTTATTTTGGTGCGGCTAGCGCCTAGCATGACGTTTATTTATTTTTATTTCATTTAGTGTTGAGTTTTTTTAATTATTTTTTAATTTCATATCTCAAATTAAGTTTTTAGCATATTTTTGTCTTGAATTAAGTTTTTATTGTATTTTATATTTCGTAGAGGAACAAGTAATACATACGGAGTATCTTTAAAGGAAATTTAAAGGAATGGTTAACACACAAGTTAATCTAAGGAAGGCACTTCTAAGTTTTTAACATGTGTATGACAAATATTTGTAAGAGACAACATATAACAATTGAATATTGTGGTGGAAAGGTGTGAATTAGGGGTGTACCTCATCCCGGTTCGGTCCCGGTCTTTGGCGGGCGATGGTTATCAAGTCGACTCTATGATTTTTATAAAAAACACGTTATATTGCATTGTAAAGTAATCAAAATAACTAAGATTAAATTTTTTCTCTGACGAAATTGAATTGTTTGAAATTACTATAAAGAACTATTTTAGCTATTTTTCTTCGTAGTATAAAATATTTTCTATTATTATGAAATGTATGTTACTTTTTTTTTATAATTCAACAAATACAATCAATTCATTAGCTTAGGAAAAGAAGTGGTTTCTACCTCAAAGTAGGGTTTTGTCTGTTCCGCTAGTCTACTACGATAAGAGCGGCAATTTTTTCTGTTTGTTTTTTGTTTTGATCGATATGTTTTTTGTTTGTGTTTATGATTTATTTTAACCAAACTCTAGAATTTGGATCCGGTAGAAGGTCTGTTTTGATCACATTTATCTTAGTTATGTTCATTATAGGATCAATGAGTCATATTGCTAAGATGATTAACTTAGAGTCAATCATCTTCGCGATATGACTCGTTGATTGATCCTATAATGAACTGAGGTCTGGGTAAAGAAATAATGGTGGGAAGTGAACTTTTTATCTTTTTGTTACTTGGTTTTGAGTTATACTCCCTCCGACCCGAAAAGGTTGGCCAAATTTTCTTGTTTAGAGGTCTCAAAAAGATTTGTCATTTCCATTTAAAGTAAAGAATATGTGGCTAAAATTAATTCTCTCTCCTCTACACAAATTTCAACCACATAATTTTTACTTTATTAATCTGAAAGTCAATTTTGGCCAACCTTTTCGAGACGGGGGAGTACCTAGTATGGCAATTTATACCGTGCAACCGGCACACCATGAGGATGGTGTGCCCGGTTGCAAAACGACGCAGCATGCAGTGGCTTCATTCAGTTATTTTTTGAGGTAATTACCTAAATGGGAGTAAATGCATCTTTAATTGCTAAAATAGGACTAAAGTTTAAAAATTCCGAAAATAGGAGTTATTATTTGTAATTGGACAAAAACACCCCTGAAGCTTGGAAATTTTACTGCCACCGACCACAACGCCGAATCAGGGGTCGCCGCCGGTCGCCGCTGGTCACCGGACGTCTCTGCCACCTCAAAAACAGCCACCGTTGTAGATCTGACCGCCGTCGATGTAGATACGGCCACCGTCGCAGCTAATCTGGAATCTCCCACTGCAAATCTGGTCTTTATCATTTCAGATCTGGTCTTTCCCGTCACGAATGTCAACATTTTTATCAAAATGCCAAAATGAATCAAGAATGCCATTTTAATGGCATTTTCAAAGGAAAATGCAAAATTTTTGTAAAATAAGAATGCCATTTTTATGGCATTTTCCAAGGAAAATACAAAATTTTTGTGAAATAAGAATGTCATTTTGATGGCATTTTTCAGTGTTTTTAGTTTCAATTACCATTTGTAACTTAATAGAAGAGAGGAAGAAGGACGGGAAGAATAATCGAAGAAGAAGCAGATCTGCGCAGAAGAAAACCTGACGGCGACGATGGTGGATTTCAGGACAGCGGCGGCGGACTTCACCATAGCGGCGGCGGACTTCACCATAGCGGCGGCGATGGCCATATATGTCTGGAAGGAGAAGAAATTGTGTTGCTCTTGTGCGAATGGAAGGAGAAGCGATATCAAGGGAAGGGAGAAGATGTTGCGTACCGGGAGAGAAGAAATTAAAGATGTCCAGGGGAGTTGATCGAGGAAGGATGTTGCGTACAGGGAGAGAAAAAACAGGGGTAAATGGGTAATCCAGTCCCATTTAGGGGAAAAATATATGTTTAGTCCTATTTGAGAGATTCATAAAAAATTTAGTCCCTTTTAGGGTAATAAATCCTTATTTTTTATTTCTTTTATTGTTAAAAATTGTAATAATTTTTTTATTTGAAATCCGATTTTTTTAAATTTTATATCAATTTTTTTTTATTTTTCATGATCTATCAAATGAGACCAATATTGCTTATGTAATTTTAATAAATTATTTTGAAGTTACATTTGATAATATATCATGAAGTTACATCTTCTTCTGCGCGAGTTACATCTTATTGTACGCGAGTTACATCTTAATATACGCAAGTTACATCTTAATGTATGTGAGTTACACCACGAAATAAACTCATGCTATATCATTTTTATAGCCTTAATATTAAACATAAAACATATTCACTATTTTAAAAAAGTAATTAAGCTATTAGGATCAATTTTTCATTGTTTTCATTGAAATCAATGTTTATGACATATACTCCGTATTATTCTCAATCACACAAAAAAAATTGTTCAATTTTTCAACAAGTTACATTCTGTATACATCTAAGTTATATTTGCCATCAACACGAGTTACATTTGTAATAACATGAGTTACATTAAAAATCAACTCCTGTTATTGAAACAAAAAATATCTTTTTTAAATAATTATTTTCATAAAGTTACATATTTTTACACTTAAATTTACATATTTATACACGCGAGTTACATATTTATACACACGAGTTGCATTTGACCTGTCTGAACGCGAGTTACATATTTTTTTACGTAAAGTTACATATTTTTACACGTAGAGTTACATATTTATACACACGAGTTGCATTTTGCCTGACTGAACGTGAGTTACATATTTTAACACATAAAGTTACATATATTTTACACGCAAATGTTAATTTGTTAAAATTACATAGGCAATATTGATCTCATTTGAAAGATCATGAAAAATAAAAATAAAATTGATATAAATTTTATAAAAATTGGATCAAAAATAAAAAAATTATTAACAATTTTAAGAAAAGGAGAAATAAAAAATAACAAATGGTGTATGATGCTCACCGTGCACCGGTTCCACGTATAAATACTCAGCTAGCATATTTCAAGTCACGTCTTCCAAAAAAATCAATTCATTAACCCATTTATAAGCGGTCTCTAAGATGTTTTAGTGTTACGGTGCACATTGTTTTGTTATGGATGATAATGGGAGCAAATTCATGGCGGATTCTGACATCTGGCGAGCTATCGCACTTTCCGCTCATATGCCGTACACGCTTGCATCTCCGTATCTTCCTTTAATTCCCCAGGAAAGCACCCATTTCTTATCCCCCTGAGAAAATGCATTCGTTCGGTATCCTCAAATGTCTGGTTTGCGTATTTCTTCTTATCCTCTACAATGTTTCAAATGCAGAAGAAGACTCAAATCGGGCACAGCAATTACCCGATTCGGCTCCGTTCCTGATTCCAATCCATCCAGGCCGAGCGCCCCAGAGCAAATCTGAAGACGGGAACCTGAAACTCGGTGCCCCGGTCGTGGCATCCGGAATCCTCTGTTTCATCGCGGCCACAATCTCAAGTGCTGGCGGAATTGGCGGCGGAGGTTTATACATTCCGATTCTGACCATCGTTGCCGGCTTAGACCTAAAAACATCGACAAGTTTCTCGGCATTTATGGTAACAGGAGGAATAATTTCAAATGTTGTTTGTAACACATTCATTCCGAGTGGGGGAAAAGTTCTGATAGACCTGGACATAGCTTTACTATCAGAACCGTCGATGTTGTTGGGAGTGAGTATTGGAGTGATCTGCAATGTTGTCTTCCCAGATTGGCTCATCACTGTTTCCTTTTCTGTTTTTCTGGTCTGGTCCACTGTAAACACCTTCAAGTCAGGATTTGTTTATTGGAGAATTGAGTCTGAGAAAAGAAATGGCTGCCCAGAAATGGAGACTGTGTTGGTTGATAAAGAGAGTTCTTGTGGGGAAGAGGATCCATTGAGGGGGAATGGGACCCACATAATGAAGCTTGGTATGTTGCTTGTGATCTGGATATGCTTCTTCCTCCTACATCTTTTTCGTGGGAACCGATATGGACATGTATGTATGTATACATATTCTGCATGCTAACCGCTAAGGATCCGTTTGGTAAGGGTGATTTCACTGAATCTACTTAAAGAAGAAAAAAACTATTGGTAAAATCGGTACTAGCCCAAAAACTACTCATTAGCTGATTAAACTCATTAAAAGCCTTTTTGGTAAACTAAAAATTCTACATTGGTTGGTGAAATTGTAGTTCAGACTTGAGATTAATGGTTGATTGGTTGCATTTGCTATATTATAAAATTATTGAGCTATATCGTGTTCATAAAAAAATAACAAAAAAATCGTATGAGAAAAAGTTAAAATTGACTTCCTAAGCAATTTAAATACATAAGTATTGTCAGTCTTATTTATTTTGATTATTAATTATTTTACTGTTTTGTAAGCAAATAAAGGTGATAAGCTCAAATGAGTTATCAATCAATAGTAATAGCGTAGTAGCGTACCAAAGGGGTCCTAAATATGAAGTTTTGATATCTTTTTTACTTTTACATATTAGATAAATGTTATGCAGGGAATTAATAACATAGAAGCTTGTGGTGTGGTGTATTGGATCATTTCATCAATTCAAATACCTCTTGCTGTAAGCTTAACAACGTGGATCTTGTTTAGCAACCAAAGATGGCAGAGTTCGTCTTCCAAAGACCAGGTGTTTACTATTGAAAGTTTTCAATCTTCTATGGAAAATACTAAAACAGTTTTCCTTTTGGCAAAAAAATAACTTCTTTGATTCAGGGCTCGTTTGGCATGGGGTGTTTGGCTGAAATGAACTAATCTACTGATTTTTGTTATGTAAAACTGTAAAAGTTCGGTCCGGACTCCGGAGGTCCCATTCATTTCAGCCAAATAGAAAGTCAACCCTACTTTTTCATCGTCAAACCAAATGGAGCCACAAACTGACGATACTTCGAAAAAATGATGATGCAAATCTACTAAAAGTCTAAAATCATAAAGTTTTTTCTGTTTAATTTAATGCCAATCCCCTAAAAAGGGAATCTTGGTCTTCTTTCAAGAATATAATATTTCTTTATGAAGGACGAAGAAGGTGGTGCAACGAGAAGAGAGCCAAACAAGCTCCTTTTCCCAGTGATGGCCCTATTGGCAGGGGTTTTGGGCGGAGCGTTTGGCATTGGTGGTGGAATGCTCATTAGTCCCTTTCTCATCCGATGGGGAATACCACCTCAAGTAAGTTTCCTCTTCAACTATATGTTCCGCTGGTTCCAGTAAAAATTTGAGTAAAAAACAAAGTAAAACCCAAAAAAAGAGTAATTGTTGTTATGCCTGGAAAAACTTTCAATTATGACATTAGTACCGTCATATTAATGCTGAAAATGTCAAAAATATGACACTATGATTTCAGAATGGCAATAGTTTACTCTTATTTAAGAGAAAATGGTCAAATAAGGTCTTCTACTATTACGAAATAGTCATAAGGACATGTACTCAATAAAGTGTCATATAAGTACCTTTACTTGTATAAAGCAATCAAATGAATCCTAACGACTTATTTAACACCTCCTAATCCCGATTTTAGCTTACATGTCGATTGTTTTGACTTGTATTTCAACCAATCTTAGTTAAATATTTGACATATGCCGTATAATGTATTCTAAAAAATGGTCAGAAGTACGTTGAAATCGGGATTAAGAGGTGTTAAATAGGTCATTAGGACTCATTTGATTGCTTTTTAGAAGTAGATGTACTTTATATGACACTTTATTGAGTACATGGCCTTGTGTGACTATTTCATAATAGTAAAAGGCCTTATTGGACCCTTTTCTCTTTATTTAATGAAAGATATAGTACTTCTATTTTAGAACTTCTCGTTGTATTTACTTCTACTAGAGAAATTTTTGTTGAATTCTAAAAAGTATTGAAAAAGATCCTTGAGTATTACTAGTACTTCTTTCCCTTTTTGTCTCATCTTTTCATTTTAGGCAATCCCAAAACGTTTGTCTCATACTAAAGTCGATCACAATCACAAATTTTGTAGCTCTCAATCATTCCGTTTTCTTTAATGTATGTGTCAAAACCCTTCTCTCAATTGAAAGCACATGGCTACTTATTTTTCAGTATGAGCTGATTAGGTCAACATAATTAGTAAGTTAGTGTTTGGTAAAAAACAAATAAGTTGAGCCTACGAAGTACTCCCTCCGTGACTCCGTCCCATAAAATAGTTCCCGCATTGACTTGGATTAGAGTTTAAAAAAGTAGGAATAAAGTGGAAATGTATGGTTGCGGTTTGAGTAAGAAAAGGGTAAATCAATGTGAGCCATACAAAACTTTCCAAAAAGGGAAATAAGAACTATTTTTTGGAACGACCCAAATAGGAAATCGGGAACTATTTTGCGGGACAGAGGGAGTATAATACAAGCACTAGATATGCGATAGTCATGTTTTCTAACTAACCGTTTCTCTTTTACTCAAGATCACAGCTGCGACCTGCTCATTCATGGTCTTGTTCTCCTCTACCATGTCAGTGGCACAGTACCTACTACTGGGAATGGAGCATTTAGAAAGCGCCATGATTTTTGCAAGCATTTGTTTGGTGGCCTCACTTATAGGATTGGTGGTGGTACAGAGAGCCATAGAGAAGCACGGGAGAGCTTCTATCATCGTCTTCTCTGTGGGAACGGTTATGGCTTTGAGCACTGTTTTGATAACAAGTCTTGGGGCTCTTGGTGTCTGGAAAGATTACACACGTGGGCGATCTATGGGGTTCAAGCTTCCCTGTTGAATTGAGTATTACAGAAGAATAAATCCAATGTAGAACTTTCAGCCTATCATCAAATGTGTACTCATGTTTGAAGCTAATCAGTCTGATCTGAAAACTACTTGATCTGTTAATATATCGAAGAATGTATGAGCAAATAACATATTAACATCAACAATTTATTAATTCTTTTTAGATGAGGCTAGGTTACTTAACAACAACCCAATCCCTACAACCGGTAGTATGATATAATATTGATTTGCTTTTAGTCACTTTAAGTGAACCTGTATTACTAAAGAACCATGGACATGAGACATAGAACCTGTATTACTAAGAATCCCTTAGATATGTCTTCATTCCATAAGATTTGGCTTGTATCCCCCCCCCCCCCCCCCCCCCCCCCCCCCGCTTGAAATTGATCTTTGTATACCTTGATTTATTGTGATATATAATTTCACATCCTGTATTTTATTTCCTCTAAACAACTCAATATTCACCCCACAGTACAAACTCAAATATTGAATTGCATCATCAGGCGCAATTAAGCACAATCTGAAATTCTGAACCTCTATGGGTAAGCAGGTATTTTCGGTTGCTCTAAGATAGGACCATTTTAACGTTAGCGGGTACTGGCAATTTTTTAAATGACTATGTCACCCCTTTCATGGGACTGGACCCACAACCAAACCGGAACCGGCCCATCCCCACCCTTAAGTGCATGCAATGTAATGAATGAGTTGCAAAGTAGAGAAGAGATAAATGCCTCATGGACAGTATAGGGGGGATGTGAAAAAACACATGGGAGGTAAAGTCAAATCTAAGAAGGATAACACATGCGATGCAATTGCTCAAAGGCCGATAATTTTATCATTTATTTAGTCAAAATGCATTAATACCACGTGAAATACCTCTAATGTTCAAATACACATTATTATTAAAAAAAACTAGTAACTATCAACAAAATCTAGAAATAAATGAACAAATGGCTATAATACCCTTGATTTATTCTAAAAAATATACCCTATTGAAGTTAAGCAACTGGGGAGAGAGGTGGATCGCCTTTTGATGTATGAATAGAAGGCACAAAATGCACCATCTGAATTCCAGGGTAGGCAACAAAAGGAACCATCTTGCTGCCAACCATTTGATGGCCTGTAGGAAGAGGATATGGCAAAACCCCAGGATGAGAGCTGGAAGCTTTCAGTTGCTGCTCAAGTTTCTCTCTCTCTGTTTTTAGCTTTTGCTTCTCATCCCTAAGTTCATTCTTCTCAGCCTGTCAGAGCAACAGTTCCCATTCAAGACTAGAAAATAGCAGTGAGGTTAAAATATGAAACCAGCTGGCCCACCTTTAAATCAATAACCTGCTCCTGTAAATTCTCAAATGACTCTTTCAGCTTCCGGGATTCATCCCTTAGCTGATGTATCACTCTAACAGCATCACTCAATATGACTGATTTGTCCGTTTTGGGAGGCCTCCCAGGGTCTAATACGGAACTCAACTCTAGGAACCTTGCAACAAAAAATACAGGCTCTCATAAATGACATCCACTTCGCCCTTTTTTAGTATATGGACTTTAGATGAGAGGGGAGGGGATAGTAATCTATTCTAACATTAAGACTGTCAGTTAAACGATGATAAATTCCACAATTAAGCATGCACCAAAGACACTGTGTTGGTATGACTGGAGTACTGCACAATAATACAAATACACAGCCTAGAGTGCAGGGCAAAAGAAGCCACCTCCGTCCCATGAAGGATAGGGTGTTACAAGTAGTACCAAAGAAACCATACAACACTGTGCTGATCAGAGTAGTCAGTATACATATAGAGGAGCACTCTAGGGCTAACGAAAAGCATCAAGACACAGCAGGACTGTGGTGTTCCTAACAGGGGTGATTGTAATGCACTGAATTGAGATTGGAATAATGATTTTTTTTAAAAACTAAAAGTACCTCCCTACTACTCATAGTCTCATACCATCAAGATGCATTTTCTTTTAAGCACAATTACTTTCTAAGAATTTCACACAAGTGAGGGGTTGAGGTGATACAAATGGAGATAAATTACGAAGTAGGAAGTACATAGTAAAAGCCTCCAAAATCTCCCAACCAAAAAAGCCCTTAAGAATAGTGATCCTTCAAGCATTCTTAGAGGATATTTTTTTCAAGTACAGTCTAGATATACACAAAAAGTGACATAGAGTGAGAGAGAGGATACATACTGGTCATTTAACCTATCCCTTCGCATTTTCTCCTTTCGCGATTTAGAATCAGCTCCACTACAAGCCCCAGATCTTGCCCTGAAATTTGGGAGGAATATTTCAAGAAAAAATGAAAATAAATAAATACAACAGGACCAAAATAAATTATACTTGGATGCACTGTACCAGATAGTATTAGAGCAGTACTTTGCAAATCCAATAGAAAACAAAAAACTTTTACCTCTTTTTGCTGTTGCATTCCTTTAGAACTTCAAAGTTGCTACATGACTGATCATGCCCAACACTACAACATAACAAGCAATACCACAAATGATCAAGCATTAAAAGATACTCCCTCCGTCCCAAATTTATCTTCCAAAGTACAAATGGCACGAGGATTAAGATAGTTGGTATTGTGTGGTGGAAAATTGTGCAGAGGAGAGAAATGTGTAAGAATGTGTAAGAAATGCTCTGAACCACAAATTCTTTGCCAAAATGGGAAAGAGGAGATCATTTTGGGGCGGACGAAAAAGGAAAGTATGAAGATAATTTTGGGACAGAGGGAGTAGCTTTTTAATCAGGTTTAGTTTAGATAGAAGGTTTTGGAGGGATAAGTTTATATACCAATACATATATTTGAGATTTCATAAAAATGAAGGTATAACATAATAGGTAATCATAATATTAGAAACCCCTTTTATCCATTTTCAGGGCCATTATGTTTATCAAAATATAGACTAAACCATCCTAAGGCCATCTATCTTTCTCTAAAAAATTAAGCTAACATCAAAACTTAAGAGATATAGTAATATCATACACTCCTAACTGCAAAGAGCTTCCTGCAGTACCTTTTTGGTGTATTGGTGTCAAGGATCATTGAAGACAAGATTGAATTTACTCAATAGTCAACACACAAAGCAATTGATTAACATTCTTTACTTCAATTTTATACAAACAACTAAGGTTAACCCAATGAAACAACGTACAAATAAAAACTACAAGGAATGTGAACATAGTTCTAGAAAGAACACATCCAAATTAAGAAATGCAAACATAACATACTAATACTCCATGAAAAAAGATAAATAAAACAGGGCGAAATCCAGAACACAGCAAAGGTACGATCTTTAAAGTTTCATTTTTCTTTCAAAGATAATAAACAGAAAAAAAATATTGGTGGTTATAAATGCATTGGAGGATACTAATTTTAAGAAGCATAAATCTTATAAAGCTGATGCCAAATCCATTCACGGGATTTCATTGAGTATTTTGAACTAGGATGGAAATTAACAAGATTGATGGAAGAAAAAAAGAGACCTGGGAGGGGCGGGAGGGGACAAAGCATTAGAAGGCCACTGAAAGGGCGGGTCTAGAAAAAGATTGTTCCCGCAGGACAAGGGAATGTCATCGAGCCTACTCAGATCGAAAAGCCAGTTGAAGCCGTCGCCCTCCGGGACATCCATTCTTTCTGCCGGTGGTTGGGATTTTTTCCGGTTTTTGCTTCTTTTTTAATTTGTGGAGGAAGGTCCATGAAAGGTTTTCTAAATTTGATACCAGAAAATGGGTAAAGTAATAAAGTTATAGGAGATGCAAATATGGAGTTGGCGGGCTTTTTGTCCAGGGCGTATGGACCAAGCCTTCACTCCGGTGGATCTGACTCAATGGGGAACGTAATCAATTTTGGGTTGAAGTATGTAGCTGTTTGGGTTGTTCCAGAGGAAATTTTTTGGTGAAATTTTTTGAACATGTTTCTCATTAAGTCTAATTTGTCCATAAAAAATCAGTAAAAAATTCAATTGGGAAGTTAGTCAAATAAAATTTTGAAAATAACTGTGTTTTATATGTATATTTTCGCGCAATTATCTTAAAAAAATTGTTTAGCTGTCTTACCGATTAAACTTTTTGATAAAAATTTAGTGGACAAACTAGACTTGATAAACAACATGCTCAAAAAATGTCATCAAAAAATCCCACCGAGAACTGCCCCGAACGGCGGCTACGAGATGGATCATCATGTCTCTCCAACTGGACAAGATCATTCTTCATCTATGTATATGTACTAAATTATGCATAATGTACTAATAATATAATTAGTATTAAAAGGACCAAATTAAGAACATAAATTAATTCGGTGCATGATATTGGAGATTTAATAGATCTAAAAGTATCAACAATCACAATTTCGTAAGTAAACTTCTTATTATCACCGGACAAACAATACTGCTCAATACTCACTCCCTATTTCAATTGTTTACTACAATAGGGTTGTACATACGGAGTATTATTTAAGGATGAAATAATAGGAGTAATGAATAGTGTAGAAAAAGTATGAGGGATGATGGAGAAGTATGAAAGAGAAGGTAAAAAGTAGAAAAGGTAAAGATAATTAAGTATTTTTAAAGAAAAAAATTTATCAAAAAAGGATAGTGTAACAAACTTTTGAATACATCCGAAAAAGAAAAGTGTAACAAACATTAAAATAAAGAGGGAGTACTATCGGAGTATAAGTTACTACGATTTAAACTTTAAACACAATTATGATCACTAATAGTTACAAACTAACATTTTTATCCACTATATTTTAAAGAGTAATATTAGTGAATATTTTTTAAAAAAAGAGAAAATTACCTATATAGGAGCAAACACTTAACTATTTGCTTAAATAGGAGTACTTCTGTAGACTATGTTTAATAGGAGTGTTTTAAGGTTGACTTGACAAAAATGCCCTCCGCCAAATATGTCGCCTCATTCCACACGCGCGCACAACATTTCTCGAAAAGGTATCCAAAGCTAATCGCCAATTAATTTCTACAGGCTTGGATGCCGGATTACGGTATTCAAAGCAACAGCGACAAATTCAAAAAAAAGGCGAAGAAGAGAGAATGAGGTACGAACTGTAGAAGAGCGGAGAAGGAAGAAAGTAGAAGACCGAAGAAGGAAGAAAGTGAAAGAGCGACGGAGGAATAAGTAGCAGCGAAGATGGAAGGTGACGACTTCGAGACTCCAAAAGCTAATCCGTTAACAGTACGCATCAATGACGAAATGGTAATTTGCTTTTACGATTTTGCTTTTGCCAAACGAATGGAAATTTGTGAATGAGTAACAGTATATGTCATATTTGAAAGAGTAACAACATATGTCATATTTTGGAATTGCATGGGAGAAAAATGAAGAAGAAACTTGGATAAAAATTCATGTTGTGTAAATGACGAACACTAATGTACATGTACGAACACTTGGATAAGAAAAGTATGGATTAATGAGTTACATTTCTGCCAAGTGATTCACAAATAGTACATATCATAGATTGTGTGAATTTTGGAATCAAATTTGTCTTGGAAAAAAGTTGTCTGCGTGTTAATGTATATTGAATTAAATGGGATGAAGTTGAGTCATTATGTGGGAGATTTGTGAATGAATTTTCAGATAATAATGTTATGGTGTAGAGAATAATCCATTGTCAATTGGTGTAATAGGTCATTGTAAGTGGTTCATAAACCTTTACTTCTGCCAAACTAATGGAAATATGTGAATGAGTAACAAGTTATGGAATAAAATGTTAAAAGTTCTCTATGAAATAATGTGTACAAATTAATGTTGTGTAAATGACGAACACTAGATGTCATAGGAGGAATGACATAGCAGAGAATGTGATAAAGGCAGAAGAGTATTCCAAATGTATGGACTAAAATATAGGAAAGTATGGAATAATGAGTTACATTTCTGTGTGAATTTTGGAATCAAATTGGTCGTGGAAGAAAGTTGTCTACGTGTTAATGTAAAATGAATTAAATGGGTTGAGATAATAGTCAGTAAGTGGTTAAGATCTTTTGGAATATATGATGCATATTGTCAATTGGTTTAATAGGTCATTCAAAGAGCATTGAGGACGAAGGCACTCAAAAACTTGGATTGCATGAGGATTAACTGCTATTGCAATTTAAGCAAGGTCATGGAGAGGATAAAGAACAAATTGAAGGAGGAGAGATTGCAGGTTTTTAGCAACACAATTTTTGGATGGGTATTGAATTTAGAAAAAATGAAAACAATAAGTGGGCAGTTGCGGCTTGGATTCCTATGCAACTACGTGAAAAGAGTGAACAAACTGAAGGAGGAGGATGTCATTCGATTTCATATTCAAAACAACATCATAAGCCTTTGTAAGAAAGACCTATGTTTGTTGTTAGGGTTGAAAATTGGTGGAAAAAAACCTCAGGTACAGGAGCAGCTAAGCGGCCATATTTGGAACAAATATTTTGGAAGTGCAGAAAGTGTAAGAAGAACTGATGTAATTGATGCTTTGCAGAAGTATGACAGTAACGACCTGGAAGCGGAGAGAGAAGATGGTGTTAAACTTGCACTTCTGCAAGTACTATCACATGGACTATTTGGAAATGAGGTGGCACAGGAGTTACCAGAGCGTATGTGAACTTGGTGGAAGATTTGGCTGTGTTTAATGACTACCCATGGGGTGACGATGTGTGTAACGATTTAGTAGAAAACATGAAAACAAATGTGAAGAGTTTGAAAAAGTGCAAAGGGAAACGAGCGACGCTCCCAGGATGTTTAATTGCTTTTCAGGTTTGGATATTTGAAACTTTCCTTGGTCTACAAAAAGCTGGAATTTGCAATATCAAGGAAGGTAAAGAAAGAGGAATTTCAAGGGTTGTGAAGTGGTCATTTACCAAAAACCTTTAATGGTTGTATTCAGTGAGATTATTTTCTGCAATGAGAATGTAAGTTGTTTCATATTTGTATTATAAATATGGTATGCGAAGATAAATATATAACTTCTTAATATGCCATGTTTTGTTGCAGTTTGAATTTGATATGCCATGTTTTATTGCAGTTTGAATGGTCAAAGATGGCAGCTACTGAAGAGGAAATTAACAAATTTCCTATGTTAGTAAAAAACAGAAAGTTAAGATCGCGGAAAGGACAAAGCAGTAACAGTAAAGAAGATAGGGTGGATGGAGAGAGGATGATTGGAAGAAACAATACAACAGATGACAGTGCGGGGGAAAAGAATGAAGAACAAGATGAGATGGATGGTGATGGTGATGATGATGATGATGACATGGGGATGGTTGGATTTGGAGAACAACGGAAGATTGACGTCATCTTGAGACAAGTAAGGAAAATTAGCAAGGAAAATGTCAAGATAATGGAAGCAAATGCCAGGTTGGTGGCAGAACTCAAAGCAATGAAAAAGGAACAGAAGAGCCAACACTCAAAACTAGGAAAAATACTGTCACACCTAAAGAAGTTGACACAACATGAGGAGACTAAAGGTGAATCTATAGAGGACGAAGTGGAGAAGAAACAAGAGAAGAGTGCAGAAGGAGGCAGTGTGGGTACTGGAAAGCATGATGAAATATTGGGTACACCAAATTTCAACATATTTGGGCCAGATACTCAAGAGAAAATGCGTGATGATAGAGTGGAGGAAGTTGAAGAAGCAAGTGAGGAAAGAGTGGGGACAAAGGCTGAAAGAGAAAATGAGGAAAGAATGAAAGATGATAATGAAGTTGAAGAAGGTAGGGAAGAAAGAGTAGGAGCAGAGGAAGAAAAGTGTGATGGGAAAGAACAGGGAGAGCAAGCAGATATGTGGGATGATGTGAACACGCAGTTTATGAATGAATTGATAAAAAACGTAGATAACGTGGAAAAACATGTGTTAGGGAATGATGCAAGTAGAGACACCAGCGCAATAACACCAATCAACACTGAGGTAATGTGAATAACTAGTTCAAATATATTTATGTGATATAAAATGCATATGAAAAACTAAGCATAAGTGTTTTCAAATGCAGGAAGGGCAGAAAATGGGGTGCGAAAAACAACCAGTTGAGGTGAGAGATGACAAAGAAAAAAGAGATTAACTAATTGAAATATGAGTAATCAATTTTTTATAAGGTTTGTAGTAATGTGATTAACTAGTTTGAATATATATTTTTTTAAATCTTGAAAGGGACATGAAAATATAGTGGAGTATGGAAGACTAAAGTGAAAGGCATGATCACCTGATCGATACACACCAGATGAAGATAGTGCTACACGAAAGAGGAGGAAACAAATTGCCAAAAGAAAGGAAGAAAGTAGCTATTTTCTGCCAACAAGTTATGGGCCTTTTGCAGAGGATCCCACTAAGCCACCACCAAATGAAGAAATTGAGAAGGTGGGGGTGTTTCTCAAAACTGGATTGCTGAAGCGGTTGAAGAAGAAAAGCGGAAGATTCTATACAATGGGAGAAGACAACATGAATAGTGAGCCAGTGTTATTTGACACTATGAAAATAGAGTCTAAGACATGGCTATACAAGCTGTTTATGAATGAAGAATGGCTAGATACAACAGTACGTTTGAACTTCAATTTGATGTATGCTTATAATGTATGAAAATAGTATATGAAATACTGTCTTTTATATAAATTTTATTCTGCTTATAGTTCAAGTGCGAACCAATCATTGTATCAAAATCGATATTATACCATGTACTTATGTGATACATTAATGCAATCAGGTTGAACAAATATTATAGGATACATATGC